AAAAATAAACACCTAAAATATAAGAAAAAGTCCTTTAAACTGCTCCGTCCGTTTAAAAATTACTCACCAAAATGCTGTAAACACGGAGATAGAAGCGGCGGTTTCTTTTGCTTCCAAGGAAGCAAAAACAGCTGGGAGGCGGAGATCAGCAAGAGCTCCGAGGGAACACTCCTTTCACCCCCTCTAGAAATAAATCCAGAGGGGGTTCAGGGGTTCTACCTCTACTCTTGCGTTCTCTATCCCTTCCCTTTGCCCGGGAAGGGATTTCCGAGCCGCGGGCCAGCTGATGCGCGCTGCGCTCCGCGGCTCTGACACTTCCCCAGCTGGACGGCTAAAAGCTAGCCGCCATCGCCGTCGCCTCCCACCGGAAGCTCTCATGTTGACATTTTTAAAAATCAGCCCATGGAAATAAACTGACCATCAGTTGCATTGCTTTTATATTTAATTTCAGCTTTGTTTTGCGTTAATTGTAATGACTTTTTATTGATCAGTAGGGAAACAAATCCCCTTTATGGATTAGTGCCTTCTCGTGGCGAAGGGGCTTGCGTAACTCAATGAAGCTATAAGCTATGCCGTGCAGAGCTACCCAAGACGGACAGGTTATAGCAGAGAGTTCTGACAAAATGTGATCCACTGGAGAAGGAAATGGCAAACCACTCCAGTATCTTTGCCATGAAAACCCCATGGACAGTACTAAAAGACAAAAAGATATGACGCTGGAAGATGAGCCCCTCAGGTCGGAAGGTGTCCAATATGCTACTGGGGAAGAGCAGAGGGCTAGTACTAGTAGTGCCAGAAAGAATGAAGCGACTGGGCCAAAGCCGAAAGGACGCTCAGATGTGGATATATCTGGTGGTGAAAGGAAAGTCCGATGCTGTAAAGATTTTTTCTCCATAGGAACCTGGAATGTAAGATCCATGAATCAAGGCAAGCTAGACGTAGTCAAAAAAAAAGAGATGACAAGACTGAACATCGACATCTTAGGAATCAGCGAACTAAAATGGACAGGAATGGGTGAATTTAAGTCAGATGACCATCAGGTATACTACTATGGGCAAGAATCCCTCAGAAGAAATGGAGTAGGCTTCATAGTCAATAAAAGAATAGGAAAAGCAATACTGGGATACAATCCCCAAAATGACAGAATGATCTCAATTCGAATCCAAGGCAAACCATTCAATATCACAATAATCCAAATCTATGCCCCAACCACTGGTGCTGAAGAGGATGAAATTGACCGGTTCTATGAAGCCCTACAGCACCTTATAGAATTAACACCAAAAAATGATGTCCTTATCATCATGGGGGATTGGAATGCTAAGGTAGGAAGCCAAAAGATAACCGGAATAACAGGCAAGTTTGGCCTTGGAGTACAAAATGAAGCAGGGCACAGGCTAATAGAATTTTGTCAAGAGAATACGATGGTCATAACAAACACTCTTTTCCAACAACCCAAGAGACGGCTCTACACATAGACATCACCAGACGGTCAACATAGAAATCAGATTGACTATGTGCTCTGCAGCCAAAGATGGAGAAGCTCTATACAGTCAGTAAAAACAAGACCAGGAGCTGACTGTGGCTCAGATCATGAGCTTCTCGTTGCAAAATTTAGGCTTAAATTGAAAAAAGTAGGGAAAAGCACTAGGCCACTCAGGTATGAACTAAATCATATTCCTGATGAATATACAGTAGAGGTGACAAATAGATTTAAGGAATTAGATCTGATAGACAGAGTGCCTGAAGAACTATGGATGGAAGTTCACAACATTGTACAAGAGGTAGCAACTAAAACCATCCCAAAGAAAAAGAAATGCAAGAAAGCAAAATGGCTGTCTGAGGAAGCTTTGCAAATAGCTGAGGAAAGAAGGGAAGCGAAAGGCAAAGGAGAAAGAGAAAGATACACCCAATTGAATGCAGAATTCCAGAGAGTAGCTAGAAGAGATAAGAATGCCTTCTTAAATGAACAGTGCAAAGAAATAGAAGAAAACAACAGAATAGGGAGGACCAGAGATCTCTTCAAGAAAATTGGAGATATGAAGGGAACGTTTCATGCAAAGATGGGCATGATAAAGGACCAAAATGGCAGAGACCTAACAGAGGCAGAAGAGATTAAGAAGAGATGGCAAAACTACACAGAAGAACTATACAAGAATGAGCTTAACATCCCAGATAACCACAATGAGATGGTCACTGACCTCGAACCAGACATCCTAGAATGTGAAGTGAAATGGGCCTTAGAAAATCTGAGCAACAACAAAGCTAGTGGAGGTGACAGTATTCCAGCTGAGCTATTCAAAATCTTAAAAGACGATGCAGTAAAAGTGCTACACTCAATTTGCCAGCAAATTTGGAAAACTCAACAGTGGCCACAGGATTGGAAAAGGTCAGTTTACATTCCAATTCCAAAGAAAGGCAATGCCAAAGAATGTTCAAACTATCGCACCATTGCACTCATTTCACATGCTAGTAAAGTTATGCTTAAAATCCTACAAGCTAGACTCCAGCAGTATGTGGATCGAGAACTACCAGAAGTACAGGCAGGATTTCGAAGAGGCAGAGGAACTAGAGATCAAATTGCCAACATACGCTGGATCATGGAGAAAGCTAGGGAGTTCCAGAAAAACATCTACTTCTGCTTCATTGACTATGCAAAAGCCTTTGATTGTGTGGATCACAACAAATTGTGGCAAGTTCTTAAAGAGATGGGAGTACCAGACCATCTCATTTGTCTCTTGAGAAACCTATATGCGGGTCAAGAAGCAACAGTGAGAACCGAACACGGAACCACTGATTGGTTCAAAATTGGAAAAGGAGTCCGGCAAGGCTGTATACTGTCGCCCTGCCTATTTAACTTATATGCAGAGCACATCATGAGAAAGGCAGGGCTAGATGAATCAAAAGTTGGAATTAAGATTGCCGGGAGAAATATCAACAACCTAAGATATGCAGATGATACCACTCTAATGGCAGAAAGTGAAGAGGAACTAAAGAGCCTCTTGATGCGGGTGAAGAAGGAGAGTGCAAAAGTTGGCTTGAAACTCAACATTAAGAAAACCAAAATCATGGCATCCGGCCCTCTCAATTCCTGGCAAATAGATGGGGAAGAAATGGAGGTAGTGACAGATTTTATTTTTCTGGGCTCCAAGATCACCTCAGATGGGGACTGCAGCCAAGAAATTAAAAGACGCTTGCTCCTGGGGAGGAAAGCTATGGCAAATCTAGACAGCATTCTAAAAAGCAGAGACATCACCCTGCCAACAAAAGTGCGTATAGTCCAGGCCATGGTTTTCCCAGTTGCAATGTATGGCTGTGAAAGTTGGACCATAAGAAAGGCTGAGCGCAAAAGAATTGAGGCCTTTGAACTATGGTGCTGGAGAAGACTCCTGCGAGTCCCTTGGACTGCAAGGCGTTCAAACCGGTCAGTCCTAGAAGAGATCAACCCCGACTGCTCTTTAGAAGGCCAGATCCTGAAGTTGAAACTCAAGTACTTTGGCCATCTAATGAGAAGGAAGGATTCACTGGAGAAGAGCCTAATGCTGGGAAAGATTGAGGGAAATAGAAGAAGGGGACAACAGAGAATGAGATGGCTGGATGGAGTCACTGAAGCAGTAGAGGACAGGAAGACCTGGAGGAACGTTGTCCATGGGGTTGCGATGAGTCGGACACGTCTTCGCAATTAACAACAACAAGGGAAACAAATGGGATCCAAGCCAAGTTCAAATTTCCACCATACAATTCAGTTCTTAAACAAATCCATATCTCCCATATTGGAGATATATATAGCATATTCACATTGTTCCTTAAGCATAGGATTCCTTTTTTTTAGAAATTTGCCAAAAATTCTATTTTAATATTTTCTGGAGAAGCATGAGAATTTTTTAAGGCAATTATGCAATTTCACACAATATCATGGGGGCAGAAAATATAAGATGAACAATCTTACCTTACAGTGATGATATTAGTTAGATAATGGAATATCTGCAAGCAAAGCACCCAAGCTCAGAGAACACAACTCAATATCTTATAGATATTCTTTTTATAAGATGAGTAAATTAAAATTGCTGCACTCTCATAAACTCTTGGGTAAAAACAAAGTGTTTTTGAAAGTTCTGCTGTGTTATTTTCACATTTTAAACTTTGATTTAACGTTTTTTTAAATTTATTTAATTTTTAATGTTCTTGACTAACATCTAGTAGCGTCAAGATTTCCCTCTTCTTTTAGAAAACAATTGTCATTAGTAAAATATCATTGGCTGATAGTTGTGGTTTAAATTTAAAACTGCCTAAGTTCATATTACCTTTTATTTTAAAGTTCTGTTATAGGCAGTCAGCATTTTGAATAGAATGGTGGAAAAAATCTAATTTTATACATTATTATGGTTCATCGCACAGTCAGCCAGATGTTTAGATTGGATATGGCATTTTTATCCACCTATCAAGTATTTGCCAAGGAACTGGGATAGGCAGATGTTATTGTTTATTAAGGGTATTACCACAGGATATAATGTGCTCTAAGTAAAGCTACCTTTTGCAATTGACTGATGATGAGTTTTTCAATGCCAATGGTGTTCAATGGTGCCCCAGATGTTTTGGGATTGCACTCATGGAACCTATTACTATTGATACTATCTTTGTTTTCTTTTAACACAGTCATTCTATTTCTGTTTTCAATTCTTTATAGATTGTGATTTTCTCCGTTTTTTTCTGTTCTATTCTGCTGTCTGCAGATAGATAGTTCAATATTAATTATTATTATTTACTTATTATCAATTATTCTTATTAATTAAGGTTGGTCGCATAGTCAGCCAGATGTTCAGACTGGATTTCGCATTTTGCCCATCTACTGAGTCTTTCCCAAGGCAGATGTGGACATTATATTATTATGGGTAGAAGCATACAGAGCAATTTTAAAAGAGAGTAAGCAAATTTGTCCTCATATTGAAAACACATATGACACCTCAGATATCTTAATCTGTATACTCTGCTCTTCTTCCCAGGAAGCTTCTTTTACTTTGTTCCTTTGTGTGTCAAACACCTCATGTTTGGGTCAGATTCCTTCATCTTCAATGATCCGTCTGACAGAAAGGCCAAACTCTGCACCACAGAAGCGAAAGCGGTGAGGACCTTTGGGCAGGAAAAGAGATGGAACTTAAAACATCCACCAGCATTTCCACATTTCAAGTACGTTTACTTTCCCTGAAGATTTCTTCAGATATCTCTTCCACTATTTCATGCCTTGGATTGGGCCCAGAGATACTTGGCATGAACAGAAAAACATTTTTTTCTTCTTACATAAGATTACTGGTGTCTCTATCCTGCTACATCCATTAGCCTTTAGGAGCAGCTTTTGGGAGAATGCTGGAGAAGTCCCAGAAAAAAAAAAGTGCTAGGAAATCCATCATACTAGAAAAATTCCCAGCAAAATTCAACCACCTTCTGTGTTAAATTCCTTTTACTATATGGCTGCTATATTCCCACCACAGGGCAGACCCAGTGAAGAATTATGTAACTCTTCTATTTTGACACTGATAGAATGCTCATGAGTACCATGAAATTTTATGACTATAATATTCATAATGCATAAGAAAATTGCAGAATTAAATTGCCCGTCCAGTTTAGCTGTGATTGGCCATTTATATTAAATTAATTCTGTTCGTGTCTGTCTCTAGATGCATGTTTAATATCTGGAAATGATAAAGAATGAATCCAGTCAAGCTAACGAAAAGAAAAATACACCTGAATCCAGCACAATAAATTTAGTTTGTAGAATATTTTAACTGAGTATATAAGAATAGCTTTTTAAATTGTTAACTAAAGTAAACCTCTACTTCTTAACCTCATTCAGTTTAGAGGGGAAGCTTCAAATGGACTAACGAGATGCTTCAGAAACATTTTGAACCTGTATTTTGCTGATGTTTAAGCCTAAGTTCCAATTCTTACTTGGATAAGAGTATTCTGTTTATGAAAACAAATAAAACATTAGTGTCAGTAAACTAAGAGCTATTAATCTAACATCTTTGTGTTCTTTTCCACAAAATTAATAATATTGAGGAGAAAGAGCGCCATATGTTCACATAGTAAAAAGTCAGTATAAGGAAAGGAATCATAGAGGGAGGGAGGGAGGGAGGGAGTGAGGAAGGAAGGAAGGAAGGAAGGAAGGAAGGAAGGAAGGAAGGAAGGAAGGAAGGAAGGAAGGAAGGAAGGAAGGAAGGAAGGAAGGAAGGAAGTTTCCTTCAGAGAGGCAGAGAGAAATCATAGAAGCTTCTTCATAGAAGTTTCTTTGGCAAATTCAACTCCTGTTCAGTTCTCAATCCTTCCTTATATCAGGATAAGAAGAAAATACACTTAGCATACATGTCCAAAACCAGTCTGAGTTCTTTAAATCTGTCCATAAAATAGGCAGCAAGTTCTCCCTGGATATAATGATTTCAAAAGAATCTGCTGCCACACAAACTTAATAAATCTTGCAGCATCATGTTTGCAGATCATTAATCATATTTTCATTTTTATCTCAAGAAAAGCAGTTGAGACATACATCTTTAAGAAATTTAGAGATACAGAGATCATTTCACTGATTTATATCATTCTGTGGAGTTACAATTCATGTTTCGTTTTCATTTGCCCAAATGTCTTTCCATCCTTTAGGAAAACGTTAGACCATTCTAATAATTATGTTTTTATTTCTTCTTAAACACACATATAAAAATTAAATAGGAAATAAATTTAAATTCCAAATGTCATTTAATTCATTACTCAATACTCCAGTGTTACTATAAACGGAAGAGTTTAATGTTTTACATATTTTACTCCAAGACAGTTATTATCCACTATAGAGCCCAACACTCTATCTCTCTGTATAATTCATCTTCACAAAATGCCTTTAAGCTAGACCATAATTATTCCCATTTGATAGATTGGTAATTGAGACTGAAAAATGATGACATGGGCAGCGTTATCAAGTGACTCTGTAATTGAGCTGGGATTTAACCTGACGTCTCTGCTGTCCAATGCATTTATCAACTTGTGCTCACAGCAAGTTTCTCTCTGAATAATAATTTGAGTTGAGTTGAGTTGAGTACAGAAACAGTTATTTATAAAATGAAATCTATTCCATACATTACTGTCTTCGTGATCAAAGCTCAATTAGGAAACTTCAATGTATAATTCATAATTCAACTTATGAAACATACAATATCCACATACATATTTCAGTACTTTTCCATATTATAAGCTGTACAAAATTGGAGGATTCACCTTAAGAAGTGGCTATGTGTCTTCCTACATGGAAAGCAACCCTCTGTTTAAGAAATGGGGATGATTATGGTTCTTCAGATATTGTTGAGATCAAATGTCTAGCATCACTTGCTACTGACAATGTTATTTGGGCATATGAGAACATCTGGGGAATATCAAGTTTCTAACTTCTGCTGTTCTAAACTTCTATAAGTTTCTAACTTCTGCTGTTCTAAATTATGCTCAATTGTAACTTTAAATATGAATAAAAGAGCCATAAGAAAACAGAGTAATGTTGTTCCTTATCAGCAGCAAACATACAGACCACATTTTCTCTTTACAATGACATATATCGTATTTCCATTAAGATTACAGTTTTTATCTTAAAATGCATGTTTTTATTTATTTGTTTGTTTATTAAACTGCCAAACTTCATAAGGATGCATGATAGTGTACAATAAAACAGAAGATATAATAACTCCAAACCATATTAGCCAGCAAAAGGAATTGTGCAATTATTCCAATTTAATAGATTTGAAAGAAAAGTTGAAAAAGCAAAGTAGGACCATAAGCAGAATATGAAGTCTGGACTTTCTATAAATTTCCTTAAATGAGGCAGAGCAATTGTACAATTAAAATGTCTATAATTTGTCTATCTTATTTTTAATAGTCCAACACTCAGGCTGTGATATCTGATTGTAATGCAAGAGAACCATCTGGTCCTAGCCTATATAAATGAGGAGAAACCAGATGATAGAAAAGAGGGGGGGGGGGAAATCCTCATTTTTAATCTCCTGCCAGAAGGTCAAATCATAAAGTACCAAAGAGAAACCACATATTTCCTCCAAAATTTGTGTCATGGAACCAAACTAACCACCAAGAGAGGATGGTTTGCTAAAACCTAACTGAATTCAGTGGCACTGTGCCAGTTTGGCTCCATCTTAAATGATTTGATTACAGAAACAGAAAAAGAAAGAAAGAAAAAACCACTGACTGGGAGGAACTGAATTCGCCTGAGGCCGAAGAAAGGATGTAAATAATGCTGACATTTCAAACACATGCAAAGATTGTCCAAGAGGTTACAAAGGAAAGGGACTGACTACTATAGTAATGTTGTTCTTCCTCTTTTTAAGTTGTGCTCAGAATAACATCATATAAGCCTCAATCAATGTTTAATGTTTTGATTTGTGAGGTCAAATCAAATCAAATATTTTTTATTGAAAGTTTTTACAGTTTTACAATAAAATATTCCCCCCCTCCCACCCCCCCATCACCCTCCCCCCTCCTTCCCAGAGCTGAATACAGGGTTAAAAAAAAACAAAAAGGAAACATACAATTTAAATAAACATCAAGCAATTATAAATACATCCAAGAACAAAGTTTTAAATACTTTAACTCCAATACATAAAGACAAAACAAAAGTTCTAATCATTACCCTTAAACATAGATTATTCAAAAGCTATTCTAATCTCATATTTATTCTGTATAAAATTCACCCATCTTTTCCACACCGAAATATATTTCTCTTGCGATTGGTCTTTCAGATAAGCCGAAATTTTTGCCATTTCAGATAAATAAGAAACTTTAAAAAACCATTCTTCTAAAGTAGGCAAAGAATCCTTCTTCCAATATTGCCCTACCAACAACCTTGCCGCTCTAATTAAATTCAACATTAAAATAATTTCTTTATCATCACAATCAACAATAATACCTAACAAAAACAATTGTGGTGTAAATTTTATCCTTCTGTTAAAAATTTTCTGAATATTCCACCAAATCTTAATCCAAAAAGCCTTTATATTTTTACATGACCACCAAATATGATAGTACGTTGCATCCAAACAACCACATCTCCAACATTTAGGCTGCAAATTTGGATACATACGAGACATGTTGTGTGGATCAATATGCCACCTATAAAACATTTTATAAAAATTTTCTCGTAAATTTTGAGCTTGAGTAAATTTAACATTCCTCACCCAAATTATCTCCCATGTATCTAGTAAAATCGGCTCATCAAAATTTTGAGCCCACTTAACCATACAATCTTTAACTAGTTCTGTTTCTGAGTCCAATTCCACTAAAACACTGTAAACTCTTTTTATATGAGTTCGACTTTGATCTTTAATTTGTTTCATCAGATTCACATCCTCCCTAATAAAACCCACTTTTTGATCTATCCTCCACCTTTCTAATAATTGTCTATACTGAAACCAAGAATAATTAATATTTTCTTGCGCTAATTCATCCATAGATTTTAATTGCCAATTTTTCCCATCCCAATTAAGCAGTTGTTTATAAGAAATGCTGTCCATTTTCACTCCTTTCCTTATTCCTTCTATTGCATGCCCTGGAATTCCCCACAACATTATTCTGGAATCTGATCTATAATATTTCTTCCAAACATGCAGTAAAGAAATTCTTAAAATGTGGGACTTAAAAGCTCTATCCACCTTTTTGTTATATATTAAATAGGCATGCCATCCATATAATAAATCCCATCCCTCAAAAAGAGTATATTTAAATTTATTAAATTAATCCAATCACTATCAAATCAAATATTTTATTACTATATACCGTAATTTCCGGTGTATAAGACGACTTTCTAAAGCCTGAAAATCTTCTCAAAAGTCAGGGGTCGTCTTATACGCAGGAATATACGGGTAGCTGTTCTCTGAATTTAAAACCAATCTGCCCCCTAGTGGCCAGCCCTATTTTTTTTACAGAAATAAGCACTAACAAGACAAAGCTTTCTAGCAGCAAAGGAGCTCCTATTGTGCTCATCTATAAACAGAAATTCAATATTGTACTGTATTTTCTGGCGTATAAAATGACTTTCTAAAGCCTGAAAATCTTCTCAAAAGTTGGGGGTCGTCTTATACGCCCAGTTGTCTTATACGCCGGAATATACTGTATATAAAATGTAGACTAAACTAAAGCTACAGAAAAGGAAGACATATCAGAAAGATGATATTAAAAGCAAACAAAAAACTATACAGAAAACAGAAAAGTACAAGTATAAAATCCTGAACCACAAAATAGCTGAAATCTACATGCTACTAAAACTCTTCTGTTTGCCTGTTTGTAATCTTCAGTTGATCAAACAGTGCATTGTAGGATGACAATTTTTGAATCAACACGCATCAAATGGGCTAAGTTAAAGAATGCATCTAAAATCTGGGCCCTATTAACTCCGATGAAATTGAAATTTGGCAAAGTTATGACCACTGCCATGCAACCATGCTACCATGTTGCCATAGTCAGCCCTGGTCATATGTTTATTATTTCCAATGCTGCCTGCCAGCTTCCCACAAGGAAAGATAATGGGGAAGCCAGCAGAAATCAGAAGTCACTCCTACTCCCAGGGCTTTTTTGCTCTCCTGTGATCATTCTTTTCTCAGTTTAGGTAAGAAAATATCTCTGTACTAATGAGCCAGCAGATCAGGTGTTGTCCAGTTAGCCCTAAATCTACCTGAGGATTCAAAATTTCATCCTTTTGGCTAGGGCAGGGGTAGGCAACCTTGGCTCTTTTATGAGCCGTGGACTTCAACTCCCAGAATTCCTGAGCCAGCATGGTTGGCTCAGGAATTCTGGGAGTTGAAGTTCACGAGTCATAAAAGAGCCAAGGTTGCCTACCCCTGGGCTAGGGATATGAGAGAATGGATTATTCTTATGACTTTTTTTGTTAGAATATTTTTCTTTTCTGCAATTCTTTTTGCTTCTCTTAAAATGCAGTGTTACAAAATTTTAAAAAAAACTTTGTTGTGTTGCTTTTACTAGATCCTTCACTTTTACAATTAGTTTATTTCTGTCTCTTAGATAAAGACCCATTTCTTTCATGGCATTCAGGTGTAGCTGAATTCTTTGTACCCCAGTAGTTTTCTTCAGACTTTTCATCTTCAAATCATTCCTGGAATGCTTGAATAGATTTCTGGTGTCACCTTTTCTTATTTAGACCCTCCAAGACGTTTTATTTTTTATTTCCTAATTTTCAGCTAGTATGGTAGGTAGATCATAGGAGTTATAATCTATGACTTTTAGAGATCACTAAATTTTAGGATGGATGCTTAGGAATAGCAAGTTCTCAAACCTCATTTTACCTATTTTGTAAAATTTGTGATATATTTGTCGTTGAATTAGAAAATCCCAGAATCATATCCGAGGAGAAAGAAAACAGAATACAAAGAAGAAGGTGTCAGCCAACCAGACCTGGGTTGAGAAAGATCAATCCTTCAATCCCGGTGAACCTCTCAAAAGTACAAAGCAGGAGACAGTTGAGACAGCAAAGCATGAAAGTAGTGGTGACAGTGTACAAGACAGCATTGTGCAATCAAAGGACCCACCACCACAGGGTAAGTAAACACTCATGTCTAGAGTCTTCTCCAGGAGACTGAGAGGGTTCACCAACTTGGTTTTTTCCACATCTGTAGTCAGCATGCCGATGGTTGTTTAATTTTAAGTTCTCTGGGGAGCACCAGATTCAGGAAGACTGAGTTATGGCTCAGATTCATTGCCCTCCACCCATTGTTGAGTCAGCATCAAACTATACCAGTATAAATTTTGCTGTCCCCATTGCCAAACCCTACCCTGCCATAGTAACTATGTCCACAAAAGGTGCTTTCCTTATTTCCTGTGTGTGGGTGAAGTTAAAGAAAAGGATTGTTGGATTTCCCCATCTTTGTTTCCTTTCCCTCCTACCAAATATCCTCAGCTGGTGGGAAAATATTCCCCAATCATTTATCTAAACATGGGATGAAGTTCAAGGAGGGGGCAGGCTTTGACAGTTGGTGGGACCTACAAAGCAGCTGATCAGCTTGGTATGTAAAGATTGGCAAGTAAAGCCAGGAGAGGATCTCCTGTTTTACGGATTAGCTTTCTCACCCCACCGATCAGTAGTTGCGCTGATCTATGGGTTGCTGACAGCTTCCTTGTAAAGTAGAAAAGTGTCATCCAACAGTTGACAGCCAACCTCCCCCCCCCCCAAAAAAGAAAGCAAATAAGAGGAAGGTGACATTGGGAAGCTCTCCTGTCATTACAAAACCATCACTTCCCCCGTCTATCAGTTGTTTTCCAGGTCATTTTTAATTAGAGGCAGATTTTTTAAAGACTGGAAATAGTGCTAAATCAGTTTTCACACTGCTTTTGAACATAGCTTTAATGCTTTTTCAGAGTTCATATGAAAAGTAGCCTGAAGGAGAGCTAACACCTAGGCCAGGGGTCCTGAACCTTGACAACTTTAAGACTTGTGGACTTCAGCTCCCAGAATTCCTCAGCCAGTGCTGGCTGAGGAATTCTGGGAGTTGAAGTCCACAAGTCTTAAAGTTGCCAAGGTTGAGGACCCCTGACCTAGGCAGACATTCGCACAATAAAGCAGGCAAATTCCCCTCTCTTCGCCATTCAGCTTCAGCCCCCTAGGCCCATCAGATGTTTTGCAGGCTATTTTTAAACACAGGTTTAAAGGTGTACAAACTGATCAAATTCCATGAACAAATTGTTCAATTTCTTCAGTTGAAGCCCCACCCAACTTCAAACTGACTCTGGTTAGAGCACAGTAAAATCAAGCATAATAAAAAAAAATACAATATAATAAACTTATAAAACAAAAGCAATAACAAAAGGAATAATTCTTTCATTTGACTCGTTCAAATAAATTTCTCAGACATAAGAATAAATGTTATCCAGCCCAAATGTTGCTTCAATTTTTTTCCACATTAGAACAATAGCTGTTCTGACAAGAGCATTTAAAAAAAAACAAAACCAGGAAGTGGCAGCTCCCAATGACTTTAAGAGTAAAGAATGCAAAATCCTCATCCAGCCAACAGGCAAATATTTGAAATATTAGACATATTAAACGATAGGATTTCACACCAGGATAGCAACAGATGGTTCCAACAGGCAGTCAGCTTCATATTTAATACCAAACTGTTCAGCAGACAGCAAACCTCTGACATATTGGTAGTATCATAAGGCAAACTGGAGCTGAATTTCTAGTTTCACTTAAGAATGCACAGCTGCAGGAAAAAAAGAGAGGTTGGAGGGTCATTTGGCACAATGAAATCTCCAGAAATGCAAATTTCATGTGAAGCACCATAGTCATCCAATTACTAGAAGCTCCACTAATAATATTCATCCATAATCAAAAATTCCATGTGTGCTGCCAAAGCTTCTGGCCAATCCAATTAAACAAACATCAAGGACCAAAGAAAAACTGCTCAGTAAAATTCCTAACCAGGAGATGTAGAGGGCAAATATTCACTTTTATATAGTAGCTAGAAGAAAAGGGGAATCCAGCATTCTTAAATCCTCTATGCCAGTGGTTCTCAACCTGTGGGTCAGGACCCCATTTGGGGTCGAATGACCATTTCATGGGGGTCACCAAACCACGCTGTCCGCCATTTTTTTCCCTTTTCCCTAGCTGTCCTACTCCCTCTTATTGGTGGCCACACCCACTTGGGGGTCACCACAACATGGGGAACTGTATTATGGGGTCACGGCATTAGAAAGGTTGAGAACCACTGCTCTATGCAAAACCCTGAGAGGGTGTATAAATTAGTAATTGAATAGCTATCTGCGTACACATGCGCAAATGGTTCTAGAACTCAGAAGTAAACTCACTTCTACCCCTATTTTCAATTATTTTTATTGATTAATTAAGAGGTCTCTACAGAGCAGAAGCAGAGAAGTTCTTCATGGCCTTGACGGAGCAAAGGTAGACTTCAGAAATGCTCACGTAGCATCTGGCCACCATAATATCAGATAAATAAAGTAAATATAAAATTAAAAAAGGAATTAAACATTGGATATCAAACAAAAGCAAGTCACATAAAAGCTGCTGATTCATTGAAAAATCTTTCTCACGGACCAAGAAATAAAGGGTTTAAAAATTAAGAAGGAAGAATATAAGGTCCAGGCCTTTGCTGATGATTTGGTATTTATTTTGGAAGATCCATTAGAAACTGGCTTTAAACTGATTCAAAAAATAGAAGAATTTGGTGAAGTAGCCGGACTTAAGATTAATAAGAATAAATCCAAATTAATAACCAAAAATCTTACAAAGGCACAGGAAAGTGAACTGGAAGATAAAACAAAGATACGTATAACCAAGAAAATAAAATATTTAGGGATCTGGCTTACAGCGAAATGTTCCTCGATTAAGGAGGACAATTATGATAAAATATTACACCAGATAAAAAAAGATTTAGAAAATAGGGAAAATTTGCAAATTTCATTTTTAGGGACGACCGCTATGGTCAAAATGAATGTATTGCCAAAAATATTATTTCTGTTCCAGGTTATTCCAATAAAATTAGGGAAAACATTCAAGAATTAAATAAATTGGTCACTAAATTTATATGGCAAAGGAAAAAACACAGAATTAAATTAAAACTCTTGCAAGATATGAAAGATAAAGGGGGACTGGCGTTACCAGAGTGGGAAATATACTACCAAGCATCGAGCTGATTGGATGGATTTGAAAAATACTAGAGTTTTAACAATAGAAGGACATGACTTGCAAGAAGGGTGGCATGCATTCCTATGGGACGAAAAACATAAAATACATAGATACTTTCAAAGACACATAGTTAGGAATGCATTGCTACAGACTTGGGAAAAAATAAAGCAAAAACATTATATAAGAATTCCAATGTGGTTATCCCAACAGAAGCTCTGAAATACCCAAACCTACTGGATATAAATAAGATAATTAGATACAAGGAATTAATAAATGAACAGGAAAATCTGAAAACAAAACAAGAATCGGAACAAGATATTGGCAGAGAGATTGACTGGTGGACATTTACACAAATTCAATCTAAATATACAGAGGACAAAAAATTATATGTAATACAAAAAAAGCCGCAAGGATTGGATAAAATTATACATGGAACAGAAATAAAATTAATTAGCAATTTATACAAATACCTATTGAGATATAAAATGGAAGACGAGGTTGTCAAAGACACAATGATTAGATGGGCAAAAAAATTTGGATATAATATAGAATTGGAGAAATGGGAAAAAATATGAGAAATAAACATAAAATTGACTATGTCAGTGGCATTCAGGGAAAACCAGTTGAAGATGTTTTACAGATGGCATCTTCCACCAGCAAAGCTTGCCAAGATGTTCCAGAACAATTCGCCAACATGCTAGAAATGTAAAAAAGTACATGGAACATATTATCATTTATGATGGACATGCCCAGTTGCGAAAAAATATTGGACTACAATAAGAAGATGGATTGAAGAAATAATAGACCAGCCCATAGACTGGAAACCAGAGATCTTTTTGCTGGGTATTTTAAACAGAAAATATAGTAAAGAAATATGGTACTTAATTTTACATATAATAATGGCGGCAAGAATAGCATATGCACAGTGCTGGAAAAATGAGAATATACCATCAGAGGAAGAAGTGATAAGAAAAATCCTGGACTGTGCTGAGATGGACAAATTAACAAAAGAGATAAAAGAAAAGGAAGACACAGAGTACTGTATAACATGGAACAAGTGGTATGACTGGTGGGAGACTAGAAATAATAGAGGAGAATAAATATGGAAAGATCGAAAGTGAAAATATGTGTATAATAATGTATAATAATAATATGAATTATTCTTAGTAAGAAGTAGAGTATGAAGGAAGAAAAATGTAAATAAGAAACAATGGGGCAATTAAGGACAAATATTCTAAAGAAGAATAAGGGGAAGAAATGTAAATAATAGAAGATTACCGTTACGTAATCACTGTTAAAAAAAGGGGAGGAGTATATACCGTGTATGTATGTGTGTTACGTTTTGTTTTGTTTTGTTTTATTGGTTTAAAAATAAAAAATATTTAAAAAAAAGAAAAAAAAGAAAAATCTTTCTCACAAAGTTATTGGAATTTACCAGTGAATGCTATGGGCTGCAATACTGCTTAGTGAAATACCACAGAAATGTTGGCATTGATCCAGTTGTTGTTCAGTCGTTAAGTCATGTCCAACTCTTTAGGAGCCCACGGACCATCACACACCAGGCCGCCCTGTCTTCCACTGTTTCCCAGAGTTTGCCCAAACTCCTGTTCATTGCGTCGATGACACTATCTAACCATCTCATCCTCTGCCGTCCCCTTCTCCTTTTGCCTTCAATCTTTTCCAACACTGGGATTTTTTCTAATGAGTCCTCTGTTCTCGTTAGGTGGCAAAGTATTTGAGCTTTCATTTCAGCATCTGTCCTTCCAAAGAACAGTCAGGGTTTATTTCCTTTAGAGCAGTGGTTCTCAACCTTTTTAATGCCGCAACCCCAACCGGTCGTAAGTTGAGGACTACCCAACTGGTCGTAAGTTGAGGACTATCCAACAGGTTGTAAGTCGA